TGAATCTCAAGAGAAAGTGGGTCATGCAGCAAGACAACGACCCCAAGCACACAAGTCGTTCTACCAAAGAATGGTTAAAGAAGAACAAAGTTAATGTTTTGGAATGACTGAGTCAAATTCTGGACCTTAATCCAAATGAAATTTTGTGGAAGGACATGAAGCAAGCAGTTCACAGGAGGAAACCCACCAACATCACAGAGTTGAAGTGGTTCTGTACTGAGGAATGGGCTAAAATTCCTACAAGCTGCTGTGCAGGACTGATCAGCAGTTACAAGAAACGTTACTTGCAGTTATTGCTGCAAAAGGGGGTCACACCAGATACTGAAAGCAAAGATTCACATACTTTTGCCACTCACAAATATTTAACACCGGATCATTTTTCTCAATAAATAAATGGCAAAGTATATATTTTTGTCTCCTTTGTTTGATTGGATTCTCTTTGTCTACTTTCAGGATTTGTGTGAAAATCTAATTATGTTTTGGGTCATATTTATGCAGAAATATAGAAAATTCTAAAGGGTTCACAAACTTTCAAGCAGAACTGTATATAAACTAGTGCTGGGCAACGATTAATCTTGATTAATCGCATCCAAAATAAAAGTTTTTGTGTACATAATTTATGTGTGTGTACTGTGTATATTTATTATGTATATATTAGGGCTGTCAGTTTGTTAACTTACCTAATTGGTTATGAAAAATAACGCAATTAAAATATTTTAACGCAGTTAACGCACTGGCCCCGCTCCCAGACCTGTACATAATCTTACATTTCATATAGTTGACTGTTGACAAATATGATGCTGGGCAACAACTCCAAAAATGCAGGTATGCCCTAAAATTCAAGATATGGGTGCAAAAAATGCCCCTGTATGTGTTTTTGTCTCATATTTATATCAATAAGCGATATTAACGTTACACAAGCAGCGAGAGCAGTAGTTATCAGACGAGTGCTGTTTGTCCCGAATATCACAAGTTTAAATGTGATTTTATACAACAGTTCAGTAAATAAGAAGTTGATATTGTGTTATATTTTAAACACAATATTATGTGTTTTTTCTCAATTTTGCATAGAATATATTACCTTTAAGGCCATAGCAGAATTATGCATCTCAGAGCAACACAGCGTTGTTTTAGGCTGCATCCGAAAACTTAGGCAGCTGACTTGCTGCCTCGCTGCCGTATGAGACAATGTCTTTGCAGGCAGCGTTTTTGCACGAAGGCACCTCATGAAACTGATTTCGAACAGGCTTCTGAGGCAGAGTAACGGTTTAATGATCTACAGGAAAATATAGAGAGCTGTGGTGATAACTAAGTGAATATTTCATTACTGCAATATTAATTTCTTGCTAGAAATGACATCAAAAGTGGAAAACGTTGATCAAAAACGTACATTTACACACAAACTGACCACCGACCACAACTTTCAGACGCCATCTTTATTTTTTAGCTTAACTGTCACAGAAAGGAACGCACAGGATTGTGGGATATCAAAGGCAGGGAAGGATACATCTATGCTGCCTTCAAAAATCAGCCAGATGAAGGCATCTCAGGAGACAGGAAGTGAAGCTAACATTGAATTCGGATGTGCCTTGATGCCTTCCTGCCTTGGAATGCATCCTCCGAAGGCAGCATTTTAGAGTTTTCGGATGCAG